CCCCCTTCTAGGTTTCTATTCCCGCTTGCAACTCTTTGCGCCTTGCCCTGGTTCTTACACCTCCTGGCTTTGGATGTCTGTTTCCAGATAGAGATAACGGCACCTGGCCTCCTCTCCCCCCTTTTTATGACAGGTCAAGCAAATGGTTTAGAATAACATTCCCACATTCTCACTATTTCACTATTGATCTATGGTTAGCAATAAAAGTAAAAGAAATAAAATAATTTGAAGGTTCTGGTTTGCGTAGATCCTGACAGTTTTCTAGCTGCATTATTACAGGGGCAGAAGTATCAAGTGGCTGCCAAGCTCAACCCGCACAAGATGCTGGGAATGGCTTCACCTTTTTACATTTTCTGATTCTTTTTAACAAATTCTGCAGAATGGCTAAATCTCTGCTCCAAGTGCACGTGGAAGAGAGGGATAAGACAGCGAGGAAGCTCTCCACAGCACCCCTTTTTTCTGGCTGCAAGGCTGCTGCCATTCCATTACAGAGGTGGGTACATGAATTGCAACAGGGGACAAAATTAAAGGCACAAGAACTTATACGAATGCTGAGGTTGACGTTCTGGTGAAGGGTTTAACTCCAGACCACTGGAAGTAAATTCCACTGTAATCAACGTTTCATTGTCTGCTAATGATTCTGAAGCAGTTACACAGTACAGAAAACATAAATCCATAAAGGAGATTCTTTAAAGGTCGGAATAATATATAAGACACCATTACCAGTCTTATGAGCGTGAACTTACAAGAACACAGTTACTGACATAACTATTCCTGACAAATCGTTGTCCACTGGATCACAAAGAGTTAGAACTGACAGAATAACATCCCAGTACTTTTAACCACCTAGGATGTATTTGTGTTGCATAAAGACAGGTAGTAATTTGAAATGTTCTGCTGCCCAGCTAAAAGGAGATACGAGCTAGGACTGCACATTATAACCTATTGTTTCCAACGTAATATAACCACCAAGATTTTTTTTTAAAAAAAATATGTTTTGGAATATATAGAAGACTGCCTCATAAAAGATAACACTCTACTGCACTATTGACTTCAACGGACAGGGGCTTCAAGGAATTCTCAAGGGGCCTATGGATCAAACAGCTACTTTTGATTTGTAATAGTCATTTTGTTTCTCAAAGAATGCAAGCACAACAATATTCTTTAGTCTTTGTATTCAGTGGGAATCATAATTATAACAAGACATGGATGAAAAAGCATTTTGAAAAGACAAATGACTTACAAAGGAACAGAGTTCAATGTTGCAGAAATGTCTGACTGCTGAAAAAAAGTACCTTGACAACTGTGTATTATCATATACACACTATCCATGAGAGATAGTTCCTGCAATGAATGGAAACTGCCCCAAAATAATATTCTGTTCAGAGAAAGGTATATTATTCTATGTAGTACTTCTATTCTGGTACCAGTTTAGATTTCAGGCACAGGAAAACTCCACATTGGTTTTGCTCATTGTACAGGTAGACCCCAGTTTAAGAACGAGTTCTGTTCCCAAGGTCTGTCCTTAAGTCAAGTTTGTATGTAAGTTGGAACAATTTTATTGTATAATACTGTATAACCAATATTGTGTAATGAAGACAAACCAGTGTATTTAACTTGAATTGTTGTGTATTTAACTTGAATTTTGCTACAATAGGCTCCGTTTTTGACTATGGGTCATCATTAAACTAGCCATTCTTAACCTGGAGACTACCTGTACTTTTATATTATTTTATACGAGCAGGAAATAAAAGTGTAATTAACACCTAGTGCTACAATGTTCCATTCAATTTTGAGAAAAGCTGATCAGTTTCTGCCACCTTGTGGACAAAGATGGAGGAAACTGTTTTAATGAATATGGTAGAGCAGTCTTCAACCCTTGAGAAAGTGGGAATCTGTGAGCTGGAGCAAGAGAAATGACAGATAAGACTGGCTGGAATTGCCTCTTCCTTTCTTAGTATTCTATTCTACACATCTTCCAAAATAGTTAACTTTTTTAAATGGAGGAGCTAGCACATTATATATGCATATAATAAAAATAAAATAAGCTGAAATGAACCATTCCTAATTACTGTTAGTCTCAGGATAGCTTCAATTATATTTCACTTGAGGCTTACAATATTTAAAAGCAATACATACTGACTAGCAATCTTTCCATGCATGTGACCAGTTAAGTTTACAGGGTTTTTTTTTTCCTGGCTAGAATTTCATGAGTTTCAGTTCAACATATTAAAAATGTTTGATATCCTGTCTCTATATATCCTTAAGATCACCCTGAAAGATATTATGATTTTCATATACAAATAATAATTGTATACAGCCTCTCCCATGCATTCTGAAAATATTATCCAGTTTAAAGGTATAGGAAGGGAGAAGGCCTATGCATAAATGATATATCTCAATTTTATAAATATTCTCTTCTGATACGAAGGGTTTCCCTTTCCAGTTCTAAGGATGGATATCCCTTCTAATTTGTCACTTAGCTTCTCTGTGTGGATTATATGCATGTTTCAAGGGGAAAAACATATGTCCCACACAGTAGGTATCTAGTTAATAAGAGTGCCTGGCACTACACATGATGCCAAGTTATCTGCTGGTGATTATATTTATATATAGAAACACTTATATTTTGCCTTTCTGGTGACCATTCACAATTAAGAAATGAAAAAAGAATCTGTAATACTTGAGGATCACAGTATCATAAATCTCAGTAAGAACATAGCAAATGAAACATAACCTTTATGTAAAACAGCAGGTAAGTAATACACAAAACCCTTACGGAATACAATTGTCTTTACTGTGATTTTGCCCCAGTGAGTTAGGGACTGAAACTGGATTTAATGCTGGTGACACACTATTAATGAGAGCTGACTATCTGAAAGCAGGAAAACAACTCAAGGCAAAGTTCTTGGAGGAGAGATTTAATTTATGATTAAGGTGTCAAGTAACTTAAAGACAGCAAGTGGAGGCAGAAGTTCAAAGAGGTGTCCAGTGTATGATTAACAGGGCTGTGAGAAAGGAAGAAAGTAGAACACATTACTGGATTCAAAAGTAGTATTTGACTTGAAATGGGTCCGTGTTACCATCAGGGGAAGTAATGAAAACAAAGGACGAGCATTTGTAAGAAGACACTGATTCCAAATGATATTGAGATAGACAAATAAACAGAAATACATGAAATGAAGTGTGAACATTGTAAAAGGAGAGGTGCCTTAGGAGAGCAGGAAAAATCAGGAGGAGGAAGCGGGATGCAGCTCACAAAAGCCTTTTAATAAAATTTGTTAGTCAGAAAAGATGCTACCAGACTCCTGATTTTTTTTTTTAAGAATAAAATGGAGGCTACCAGAATCTCTTTAATACATTGCCAAATTAGTAAGACTAAGGAAAAGCTTGTTTAAGTAGTCTATTTTTTAAAAAAAGGAAAGATGGAAAAGAGTTGCCTTCTATCACACAGTAGCACAGAGTCTGTAATTATATTCCTTAAAATGGTTGGTTGTCAGGTCTGCTTCAAAGTCATGCTGGCAACAAAGACATTACTTACATCAGCATTTCATCATAAAAATTCCTTGAATGTGATGACATCTGTTCTGCTGAATTATATGTATTTGGCTTAATTAATGATTAAAAGAAATTTGAAAACAATCACTTTTGTGGAATCCTTGATGCTCTCTGAGCTTGGCTGTTTCCTTGCAGATGTTTCACTACCTGACTAAGTAACATCATCAGTGCTAGTGAGTGTGGGGTTTGCTCCCTGTTTAGATACAGTAGCTTGTCTTATTAAGAAACTACCAAGAAGGAAACCACACCACACCAACACTGGCAGGGTGAGCCACTGTATCTAAACAGGGAGCAAACCCCACACTCACCAGCACTGATGATGTTACCTAGTCGGGTAATGAAATGTCTGCAAGCAAGCTCAGAGAGCACCGACTCCACAGTTCAACCCTGAGCTGCAGATATTCTCTTCTACTGAGAATTGTTTTTAATTACTGAGTCTACTGCCAATAATTAACATATATATCCTGTAATTTCTTTGTGCTTTACATTTCTAATATCGAATTATAAAGCAATAGTTCATGTATTAACTGATTAAAACAGAGACATTACAAGAGAATGAGTTTTGATTAGTGATTCTACCAGTAAAGAAACTTTCCTGCACTTCTATTTTTGTTATTGCTGATGGTTTATTGTATGCTTCCCTTAGGAGTTTTTTAATGAAAAATAAAAATGAACACATTTTTCTTTCTCTTCTGAATCCCCCCCAACAAAAAAAGGAAGGGAAACAACTATCAAGAAATAAAGGGAAATTCTTGATTTCAGCTTCAACACATTCACTGGAAGTTAAAACTAATTAGACATGTAGTGAAACAAAGTAATTTGTCTTTTGCAAGCATCGAGAGAAGGGTTCAATATGGTGTCCACACCTGTGCAATCTTGACTTTTTTGACCTCCCCCAATACCCTTGGTCTTTTGATATACTGTAATTTTGCAGAACTTTAATCCAGTCAAGCTGTGGCAAAAGGATTTCAATAAAGAAAGCTGATGCCGGTTTCTCACCTCAGCATCGGCCTTGGAGGAGGGGGTGGTTCCCCGGGGTCCTGGCACTGTTTGGCTTTTCTAGTGACTTGCTTATAGATGTTCCTAGATGTGACTCCCATCCACAACAATGTGGCAAGGGTAGAATAGTGCAAGATTATCCCAACCTGGAAAACAGCCATCAAAAACTCCGTGTCAGACAAAAGAGTCAATTTTCATTTCTTCACTCTCAAATTCTCCAGCAGCTTGTTTTGTAAACAATAAACTGATAAACCTTGATAAAGAATAGAAAGGTAATATACGTAGCAGCTGTTAAGACTTATCAAAATACATTTTTATTTGTGCTCATCCTTCAAAATAAATACTTTTATCAAATTTTTAATTATCTTTTTATGAAGTATATTGCTTTTTAACCCTGCTTTGTCTACTGATCAGAGATCCCTTTATGATAAACAACACAATTGTAATGGTAGCTGAAAGTGACACTGCCCCAGGAAACCTGCAATTTGGTTAACATTTCACAATATGTAAGGCGCCCCTTTTCCTATTCATGTTCCTTAAGCATCTTCACTCCAAACCATATCAAATTAATCTTGCTGCAACGTTCTTGCTCAAGGGAGGTGGGACCAAGACAAAAATGTATTAGAATTTAATTAAATATAGTAAGCATGATTATCCCCCATGTATTTAATAACGTCTCCATTTTTTTTTCCAGAGAGGCAGGCTCAGCTTTCAGAGGACCATAGGGTTTACGGCCCTGCTCCACAGAACTAAAAGGACACATTTTCCATTACAAATATCAAAGTACAAATAATATATGTCACATTACCTGTAAGTGGTATATTTATGTTGTTCATTTCTAATCCCTTTAATAACAAACAGAAACTTTTGCATGTCTGGATGCAAAAGATATAGCGTACTAATCCACAGAAGACCCATCAAGGCAACTCCCCTGAATTTGTACACAATTCGTTCAAGCTGATTTTTGTATTCTTTTAGAATGCTAATTAACAAAACAAACAAAATCAACCATCTCCTGCAAGGGGACCCTCCCAGAATTCTCAGCAATGGCCATGACAGCTGAAGGAATCTGGCAGTTAAACCCCACGCATTTAAAGGATGGGGGAAGGCTGCTATAAATGAGGATTGCAGCTATGGTTTTCATCAGGACCTTGTGAACTTTGGATAAAAGAATTAATGTATGCAAGTTTGACATCAGGACTCAAAATATGGCAAAGTAGTATCAGAGCATTTTAACTGCCCAGGACGCTTGATTAGAGATCTCAAACTAGCTGTTTTGGAACAATGAAACGACATTAGCACTATAGAAGAGACTCCAGAACTCACGTCCATGAAGAAGTTTCAGGCTATTTCAGAACTAACTAATACAGTTGCTAATTGATGAGATTCTTGAATCTATCTCACATGTAATCTCTATCCACACAACCACCTTTTCTTTTCCTCCCCACCTTGCCTCATTCCCTTTTCAAATATTACATCAGTTTGGCCATTCCATGTCACTGATGAAGTAAGCTGTAGGCTTGAAGCATGAAGGCTTATTCCTTTTAATATAATTTGTTTACCTGAAAAGGTGACACCAGACTCCTGACCTGTGACCTGATCAGGCATCTTGGAATGGAGATGGTTTAAACAATAAATTGATACCCTGAACATAAAGTTCCAGAAAATGAACAGTTAACATTCAAATATGTTTTTAATAATCTTTAACTAATAGTCTTCACCCTTGAGCTTTTTCTTTACCATTTTTTTTTACTGCAATTCCCCCAATATACATTCCACTTACTGCTTGGCAGATGCTAGCATGCTTGCTCTGGGTTATGCCTCCAATAAATACCACACATGTCAGGAAAATATGAAAGCTGAGGTTTATTAACATGTGCCAGCTTTTAAGACTGATCCTGATGACACTGTGGAATGACAAAAACATAGCAGTATTTCCCAGATATACCTACATATTGTTCAATTAGATAAAGAAACTATTTTTAATTATAGTCCCCAAAACCTGAATCTATCCTGGCCTTTATTAAACTCAAATAATCCATGCAAAAACATATTTACAAATATTAAACCATAAAATAAGATTTCTTCATAATACAGGGGGGTAAAAACCAAAATCAGACAGCATTATCAGCTAAGGCAAACTAGTTTTGAACTTTAGGGAAGGTTTCCTACCGTAGCATAACTAAGAACACTTTCTTTCTGTCCATGTTCCTGTGAACTGCAAGGATTTTAGAGCATGTTTCAGAATAAATGCTCACTTTCCATGAAACAGTCCTGCTTGTTCACCTTTATTAATTTATGTAAATATTCTAGAACAAGGCCAATACTTCCCAACTTTTAACTGAAGTTCAGCAGTGAGTTGGTTTCTTGCAGAAAACTCTCTTTGACCTTATTGATCTCTTACTGAGATCTCTCTGAAGTTACCAACCTTCCCCAGCCCCCAAATTATTTAGCCAGTAGGCTAAATTATTGGAACCACAACATAAATCACAGATTCTGCAATTTCTATAAACCTGAGAATGGGAGGGGGGGAGGGTTGCACAATCTTAAATTATTCTATTTGCTCCTCAGTATTTTGGATGCTGTATCAGTCCAAAATAAATTAAAACATGGAAAAGTGAATTAACAAATGAATGAATTTTACAATCAATTTATATAGCTGCAACTAATGTTATAACCATATAACTCTTTAGAGATGCAACAGCAAGATGATACTTACATATATATCAAAATAATTAAAACACAGAAATAATCATACCTATGCCTGAAGTGTCAGAATATGTCCCAGTACAAGAATAAATAAATAAAATGTAAGAGTAAGTCTGGAGTAGACTTTACCATTATAGATATGAGCCAATGGTATAACAAATGTAAATGACAGAGAAACACATTATTAAACTCTTTGATTATTTAATGCCCTCAATCTAGCAATATAACATTACTTCTATCTGCTAATTAAATGTGAATTTCTGTATTTCCAGTACTAATCTACATACATACATATAGCCAGGCAGATTTGGTTAAATATTAGAACTGTGCAAAGCATTAGAAAGAAATGTTTCATGAAGTGTATCAGGACAAATGGAAAATCTCTCTTCAAAGCTGTCAAGCAGCTGCATTTTCACAAAGCTTGCGCATTTGTTTCAAAGGCTGTTCCTCACATGCAAACACACGTGCCCTTTTCTATGTTGGCAACCCAACAGAAATCAACAGCCAAGATTGCAAAGGAATGACTACTTTAATGCTTTGAAGGAAGATGTTTTGTTAGTGCCAATGCACAGCCCTCATAAATATTAGTTGATTTAATCCAGCTAATTTAATATACATTCAGAATTATGCTACCTGTGGTGATATATGTAGCTAATTTTGATCATCAAGAGGCACATCAGCAGAATCACAGCAGACACATAGATAACTGGATGTAGAAGGTCAGCTGACTGGGCATACCCTGTCAAATCCTGACAGGCAAGACAATATGACACAATTCATAATGTTAGTCCAATCTGGGTCTCCATCTGACATAAGGATGATTATAAATTAAACATTAGGCCACATAAGAATGTCATATAATTTGAGTATAGCTTAGGATGTAACATCTAATACAGCAGATAACTCCTCCTGTAGTTTTCCTTCCACCCTTTCATCAAGGGGAAACTAAGATGGTAACTAAAGATTGGATCATAATACACAGAGGATAATTTCTTAAGGAGGCTACCAGGCAGATCCACCAGCATGTTGATTACTGGCAGGATTAGCGGGATGTTAGCATCCATAACATGTAAAATAGTACTGATTTGACAAACATGCTAGATCCAAAACCAGTGTTGGATATAAATAAGCATAGCCCTGATACAGGAAGTGTGTAGACTGGAATGATTATAGTGGCATTTATAATAGCAGGATGAAATGCATTTGTACAGCGATGTAAGAATGGTGCGGAAAGCAACAGAAAACTATGACATGACTCAAAACAAGCATAAGAGCATCAAAGAACAAAATAGCATCACTGGGTGCTAATCTCCAGTAAGAGAGAGCAAGAAGACTCTTTCCTAAAATCCAGGTATTCTATTTAATTTGAAATGGATTTACTATTTACGTATTATATTGGAAGTCAGTTTGCTGAAGTAGTGAAGGTGCTGGAGTAGAAACCAGGAGATTCTGAGTTCTAGTCTTCCCTTAGGGATGGAAGCCAGCTAGGTAATGTTGGATCGGTCATTCTCTTTCAGCCTAACCCACTTTTCAAGAGGTTTGTAGGGGAAATATGAGGAGGAAAGAACATTATTTATGCTGCCTTGGTTTGTATAAATGAAGGCAGGATATAAACCTAATAAATGTTATCCAAAGCATAACTTTGTTCCATGCTTTTTAAAAGCAGGATTTCTCTCTCATGAAAGGACTGCATGTAATTATATGAATCAAAGGAACAGGAAAATACTGCTGAGATGATGCCAATGAACTTTTTAAAACAGTTGATACCCAGTTAAAAAAGGAGGGTTTTTTCCTTCATAGACCATAGTGTAATATGCTATATTTTTTTAAAAATAAAAATATTTAATACCAATTAAAGTTTTGAAATCTAATGATCCTGTATATCCAAAGACCACTGGAAGTATTTTTAAGTATTTGAAACTAGTATGAAAAATACTACTTGTTTCCTTTTATAATAGTAGCCTAATCCACCTCTCATAGGTCCATAATTTATTCTAAAGTCTGGGCTATGGGTTTTCATTTCAGCAAAGAGAAGAGAGATTTGAGCTCAGCACTCTTAAATCCACAATCTCCCCACAACTACTCTGTTTCCTCTGGAAAGGGCAGCTGTCTGAATCACGAACAAGCCTAAGCTATCCTGACAGCTTTATACTTTGATATTTACACCCAACCATGGCATACATTTGGATAACATTATCAGCTCCTCCAACCTCAAAGAGACAAAAATTATCACCTACCATCAAGACTGCATAATTACTGAGTGAGAAACACTGTATGGTTGTGACATTTTCATCAGAAAAAAGGATATGGCATCCATCTGATTTCCAACCACCTTGTCCGTTCAGTAAATCAAAGTCCCACTGAGCTGCAACAGCTTCTGTTCCATGTGCAATGCGGCGGAGGGTCACATTAATGGGAACGTCCTGATATGGTAGACTTATGCCATCTTATTTGGTTATAAAGAAAGAGAAAGTGGTATTTTTATATAGGCTAAAATTAAAGCAATGACATTTCCAGAACAGAGTAGAGTATGCTATTCTATGACAAAGCAACATGGGATTGGAATGTATCCTGTAAGGAACAAACCTGTTTTGGTGAGGATGACTGGGGTCACCACAGTGAGGCGTTTTCTGTCAGCAGTTAAAGTTGTTGAATTCCCTGTGGACGGGAAAAGTTTCCCATTACGGAACGCAATCAGTTGAAGCCTGTAGACAGCATTCTCCGTGGGCCTGATTTCTCTTTTGTGCCTTTGTGAAAACAAAGCAGGTGGCAATTGTATAGAAGCCTCCACAACCGTGTTCTGGAAAAGGAAGCAATTAAGGTTAATACAGAACATAAAAGCAGCATTTTAAATGTGCCATCTCTGCTTTGGATATGTCCGTCCCTGAACTAATCAGCACTGAGCTTTTCCTCGACAGAGGCTCAGGCTGACCAGAGAAGCTTTCCAAGGAACTGTTTCCGTAAGATCGATTGGACATAATAAAGGAACTGAAGAGCTTTGCATAGTTTGACATGGGAGCCCTTCCAGAGAACGTGGCATCTTCATTGTAGAAACCAACTGCTGTTTTCTTAAGGAGAAAGTTTTGTGAGGCTAAACTAATGGGCAACCACACCCTAACCTGGGCTTCCAACCACTTTACAGCCTAGTTTGCACACTGCATCAAGCTGTGGTTTATATAACCATGATCTGCTGAATAAATACAACTGATTAGCTTCGCCTGACATGACTTTGTGTAGTATGTACCTCCCAGCTTAATCCAAGTTGTGCTTGAGTGGGTAACCAATTAGTTCTGCTTCGCAGGCAGAGTTAGGACTATAGTGAGCTTCACCAAAACAAATTCAGCTTGAGGAGAAATGTACTGGCCCCTATGAAATGGAAGAAGCATAATTTATTTTAGCTTAGTTTTAAAAAAAGCTGAACTGAGAAGCTGGTTGTTTAAGACTTTTAAAAAATACTGCCTTGCTACTGGAGAGAGATTTCACTCCTGAAGTTTCACCAAAAAAAAAAAAGACCAAACAGCAGTCTGACTAGAAATAAAACTGTAATTCACCATACAGCAATTAGGAGGCCAACTGGTAGAGCTGAAAATTCTTGTTAGGTCAGTGGAAATATACTCTCAATGCCTCTGTGGACTATCTAACATCTCTGAGACTTTTTAGAAATTAGGGGTTACCCATGTCTTTCTGTCTCTGTAAGCCCCCTTTTTCCTATCTTAATTAAACAGATCTCCACAATTATAGCTTCCCTTTCAATTATCTTGCCACACGGACACTCCATTCTTGGCAGACACCTCTACATGAAAATTCACTTGAGCAAGAATTCACCAGGAATTTGCTTTCTCCATCACAGTGAAAAAGATCAATCAACATCAACATTCAACAAAGAAAGCACCTCTTAGAGGCAAAACTCCCTTCAGGAACTGCTAATAATCAAGTTGATCAAGTTGATGCAATAAATAAGAAACAAATGAACAAAAAAAACCTGGGGTGAAAACTGAAGGTATGTGAAAGAGAAACCATCTACAAAGCTTTCTTAGAAGGGCAAGTGCCAGCATCAGAGAAAAGGCTCATGGGAGTATAACTTTGCTAATGTGGAATGCAGGGGAAGGCTGCAGACAAAAGCTGCCATGGAAGCGAGAAATCTAACAGCTCTAAGGAATATCAGTATGGTTTTAGATGTGCTAGTGTCAGTTCCTGCTAAAAGGACAGTGATATAATAGTTTTTTTAAACATTACAATGATCACAGCCACAGTAGCAGCAGCCCCTGCCTGCCCTTGATCAATCCCTCCAAAACTAAAGAACATCGGATCCAGTTAAGTCTTTAGATGGGTGGCCACCAGAAAGCGCCAGGCTGCAGGCTAGGCAAATCAAAAAGTTAGGATTATCATCTCATGCTCTCAACCAAGGTTCACTGATAAATTATGGTTAGGATGTTAACATCCAGAACAACAAATACATCAAAAATTTATAAACCCACATATTTGCTACCACTCAACCTACAACCACAATGGATAGTACTGCTACAAATGCCAGTAATTACAAGTATAAGGCAACCCTCTGCTGAACAATGTTCTCATTCAGTATTTGGCAAACCACACTACAATATATCTTTTTTCGGCTAGTATTATTTATGCATATAAACAGCTTATGGGCTTACAGATTTCTTTCTGTAGTCATAATGCTTGAATGGGGGAGGTGGTGGCGCAGCGGCTTAATGACGCTGAAAGTTGCC